TGAAGGCTGCATAGAAGTCTGTTGGAGTCATCCTCCCCACCATCACAGACATCTACACCTCCAGATGCAGGAAGAGGGCCACCTGCATCATGAAGGACCCCACTCACCCAGCACACACACTTTTTGCCCCTTCTCCCCTCATGTAGGAAGTTGAGGAGCATTAAGTGTAGAACCACTAGACTGAGGAACAGCTTCTACCCTGAGGCTGTTAGACTCATGAATCTCTAACCAGAATAATCACTGAAAAAACATGAATCACATCATGAAGCTGATTTCTTTCATGCTGCTGTGTTCATTTGTACTCATCTGCTCACAGACTCGTGTTCGTGCTGCTGTTGTTCAGCATATTTTTTTGTACTACTAGTGCTTAGTGTATTTTTAGTTAATGTTTTTCTTAGCTCATATCTTAGATCTTATTACTGTTTTTCTTTTGCATTTTATACTTTTGTTGGATGTAACTGGGTCCCTGTGTAAACAATTTTGTTCCACCTCATGTACCACATGTGACGCAAATGACAATGAAGAACCTTGAATCCCTTGAATCTGTTGAAGAGGTTTAAATGGACAGCCCCCCCCAAAACATCACTGAAATGGTGATCCCTTATTCTTGAGCATGCACCCTTGTGTCTTTGGCACTGAACCTCATAAAGGTTCCTAAGACCCGGTTTAAAACTTGGGTTGACCTATCCTTTCAGGCCGTAGCCCCCAGACTGTGGAATGCCCTGCCCCTGTCTCTTCGTGTGGCCGTCTCTGTTGATTCCTATAAAAATCAGCTTAAGACTCTTTTATTCAGACAAGCTTTTAGTTAAATATTCTACTTACCGTATTGTTTTTATCAGCTGTTCTTACAGTTTTAATCAGCTGTTCTTACTGTTTTGATCAGCTGTTCTTAGTGTTTTTATCAACTGTTCTTTTTTTTATTTTCGTTTTTTTTCCCTCCCTTGTCCTGTCCGGCATTGTGACACTTAGAATTATTGTCTGAGTGTCAAAGTGATGCCCAACAGATTCACTTTCACAAGCAGAGAATTATGGCTGGCATTAATGCTCCACTTGATATATAAATTAAATTTTATTAGAATATGCTTTGGGTTTGTTCCAGATGTAATGGACACGGGGACAGAAAACAAAGAAGATAACAAAGCAGAAAAGAGAGAGAAGAGTTAAAGTGTAAAGAAGGACATAGAAATAGAGGAGAGAGATAAAGAGAACACAAATCAACATCATTGAAGTCTGACTCTAGACCTGCGGAAAGAAAGAAAAAAAACGACTAAACCAAGAAACCACAACAAACAACATATGTAATGATACTTATAACATCATTAGAAAGTATTTTATACATTACATGGTAATACAATATATATTTGATGGCCACCACAACCCAACTGAGTGTGTATCTGATAAACACCTGTGTGAGCATGCTTATCACTATAAGGTTTCTCCATAAAAATGTTCAATAGTGGATGTGGGGACCCATAAACCCGTCCCCACAGGATACGAAGGTAACACAGTAGTGTAGTCACATGGTAGTCCCCCAACAGGGACACCCGCACCCCCCAGAGAGAGAAGCAAAGGGAAGCCCCGGGCGATCCCCAGCAACCACAATGCAGAAACCCCAGGAGGCTGTAGCGACGAGTCAACAGGCCCCGCCAGCAACCCGCCCCTCCAAAGTGGATCTGGCCATGGACACCAAGCACCGAGTCCTGAGGTCATACCACCCCCCAACAGAGGCCCGGCAGAGCCAGGGCACCCAGGCCCCCGCAGGCAGCCACCAGGGCGGGCCTGCACACATCCACCACCCAGCCCCAGCTGCTGAGAGCCGCCAATGCACCGGCGGCAGGGGGGCCCACCACTGGAGGGGAGCACGACACACCAAATGGGGGGCCAAAACTGATCCAAGAGAGGGGACCACCTAAAACCCAACCTGAGACAAACAGGCACACCGAGACAGCCCGACAGAGCCTCTGTCGAGCCGTCCATGCGCCCCACCCGCCCAACAGTGACCGCAAGCCGGCCCCAGGCCGAGGGCCAGAGCAGCAGGGAGCAGCAGCTGAGGAAGGTCGGCCCAGCACACCAATGCATCCCTTGACATTATCAGCAAGTCTAAGTCCTCATCCTGTCAGCTCGATCCATTTCCCACAGTTCTTGTTAAATCCTGTCTCCCGTCTCTGCTCCCAATCATCACGAACATCATCCTCTCCTCCCTAACCTCTGGCATTGTTCCCACAGCTTTCAAATCTGCAGCCATCACCCCCATCATCAAGAAACCAGGTCTTGACTTTACCAACTTCAGTAATCTTCGTCCAATCTCTATCCAACAATAACATTTATGAAGAGTTTCAATCTGGTTTTCGCCCCCACCATAGCACCGAAACAGCTCTAATAAAAATAACTAATGACCTTCTTCTTGCTGCTGACTCTGCTCTTCTGTCTATCCTCATTTTACTGGATCTAAGTTCTGCCTTCGACATAATCTGTCATTCTATCCTCCTCAACAGACTAACCTCCATTGGCATCTCGGGTACTCCGTTAGACTGGTTCAAATCATATCTCTCTGACCGCACTCAATTCATTCAATCCTTTCGTTTCCAGTCTTCCCCCGTCTCCACGGGTGTCCCCCAAGGCTCTGTCCTCGGACCCCTCCTCTTCATCATTTACCTCCTTCCTCTAGGTCACATCTTCCGTAAATTTGGTGTCCATTTTCACTGTTATGCTGATGACACACAGCTCTACCTATCAACAAAACCAAACTCCACCCCCCCACCCTCCATCCTCACCGACTGTCTCAATGAGCTAAATCACTGGTTTTCCAACAACTTTCTACAACTAAACAGTAACAAAACAGAAATCATTCTTGTCGGTACCAAAAACTCTCTTTCAAAATCAGAAAATCTTCTCGTCCCCCTTAACAACTCCCTGCTATCCCCCTCGCCTCAGGTCAAGAGTCTTGGTGTCATCCTCGACACCACTCTCTCCTTCACTTCACACATCAACAACGTCACTCGGTCTGCCTATTTCCATCTCAGAAATATTAACCGTCTCCGCCCTTCTCTCACACCCCGCTCCACAGCCATCCTTGTTCACAGTCTTGTGACTTCTCGGATTGACTACTGCAACTCCCTTCTTTATGGCCTCCCCAACAAATCTCTCCAGAAGCTACAATTGGTCCAGAACTCAGCTGCCCGTGTCATCACTCAAACCTCCTCCTATAGCCACATCACTCCAGTCCTGCAGCAGCTCCACTGGCTCCCGGTTAAATCACGCATAGTCTTCAAAATTCTTCTTCTCACTTTCAAAGCTATCCACAACCTTTCCCCTCCGTACCTATCTGACCTCCTACACATCTCCATCCCCTCTCGCTCTGTCAGATCCTCCTCTTCACTACACCTCCATGTACCCTCTGCCCGCCTCTCCACCATGGGGAGCAGGACCTTCACCTGCTCTGCTCCTCATCTCTGGAACTCTCTACCCCCTGACTTAAGAAACACCACCTCTCTTTCTCTATTCAAGACTGCTCTGAAAACACATCTCTTTAGACTCGCTTATCCTTACCTTTGCTGTATGTATTTTATATTCTGTATGTATTTTATATTCTTTATGTATTTTATATTATGTATTTTATATTCTTTATGTATTTTATATTCTTTATTCCTGTTGATCTTTGTTCTTACTGTAAAGTGTCCTTGGGTGTCATGAAAGGCGCTTTTTAAATAAAATGATTATTATTATTAATAACTTTAACTTGGTCAGGTATGTTGCCTGACTCGAATGTAAGCTAACACCTTTGGTAATAAGAGGAGCCTACTATTTCTAAAAAAGAAAAAAAAAACAAGTTACTTGAAAAAAATGTTAAGTTGTTAGAAAGTTTCATCCTTAAATCTCAGATGAAAAATTTATGTTAAGGCTATGTTGAAGAGGAATTGATTGTTTGCCAACCAAGAAGTTTGTTGTCCTCATGTGAATGACAAATGGAACTACACCAGTGACACTGTTTCATTTTCTGCAAGAAACAAAAATCCACTTAGACACGAAATGCATTAAAAACAAGCCAATTGGATTTCTGCTTTCTTTTCACCTGAGACACTGAGGAAAATGTTTGCTGATGTTGTGCTTCTCGCACTGGGAGAAATCAAACCGAAGCACTCTTTTTGATTTTGTCCCGTCTTTTGCTTCTGCGAGTCATCGTCAGGACATCAGTCTTGAGCTGAGGCTTTTATATTATGCCTTTTTATGTTTGTTTGTTTGTTTGTTTGTGGTTTGAACGTCTTTCAGTCAGTTTAAGAATGGGAAACATTTTCTCACATCTCAGCTTTGATCTCTATCCTCCTACGATGATTTTCCACAAGCTCTGCAGTGGTAAGGCAGCAACAATAAGCGTCTCTGTTGTTTCACATTCAGTCACATGCAGGAAGGAGCCTGACTGTAAGCACCCGGACTGATGAATGTGATAAGTTATATTTTGATTGTCGCTAAAACTTGTTGTCTTTGTTCTTGTTTAATTTTTCTTTTTCAGAAATCTGGTTGTATTTTATAGTTATGTTGATGTTTTATATCTGAATCCAGTTTCTTTGTATGTGTACAGACTAATAATTTACTTGTTTAATGCACTAACATAAGAAATAAAAATATATACATCTGGAAGGCCAATTTTCCTGTGTAAAATGAATATTTTCCGGTCTGTCCTTAATGACATCTCATATGGTTTGCAGTTCGGTCAACTGTTTGACAATGTCCATCTCTGCCTGGACCCTTCTGCCCATTGGCACAGCAGCAGGAGCAGACGGATCACAAAGGGGAGGGCCAAGCTGGCCCTTTCTCCTTTCTGCCACAGAGGATGTGTGCTCCTCCAAGAGGGAGCTGTTTGTGAACGAGCTCCCTGAACCCGAGCAATCCAGCTCTAAACATCAGGTGCTTTGCTTTGACAAGAAGAATCCTTTTCTACCCTCAGCCGAAGAAGAAGAACTGTTGTGGCTCTTTCAACCATGGAGGCTGGAGAGGGAAACATGGGCACGTCCGCCTGCGCTCTGGAGTTGCTGGGGATGCTGTTCTATGTCGGGGCATGGCTGTGCGCCTTAGCCACCACCATCTTACCACAGTGGCTGACTAAATCCACATCGCTGCTGCCTGTGGAGAGCTACAACCAGGGCCTGTGGGAGACCTGCGTGGTCCAGGATGTTGGAGGCATGGAGTGTAGGTCTTACGACAGCCTGCTGGGCCTTTCCAGCCACCTCATGCTGGCCCGCATCTTCATGTGTTCCTCCCTGGCTGTTGGTGTGCTGGGAATCCTTGTGGCCACACCTGGGCTGTCCCTGGTCAACAGCTGTAGAGGTTGTGGCGGCTCTCAAACCAAGAGGACTATAATAATCACAGGGGGGGTGCTGGGGATAATTTCTGGAGTGCTGTGTCTGATACCTGTCTGCTACACGGCTCATTTAGCTGTGGTCCATTTCTTTGATGATAAAGTACCGGATGGGGTGCCTCGGTGGGAATTTGGAGACGCATTGTTCTGTGGCTGGGCGGCGGGGTTCCTCCTCATCATGGCTGGACTAATCATGGTCACCTCCTGTACGTGTTTACAGGTGGAGCCGCAACCCATCATGCAGAGGAGGTACCAGGTGAAGAGCACCGACCTCAGGAAAAACTTTGAGTATGTTTAACTGAGGAGTTAGGATGGACACCTGTAGAGCTGCACTTCAGCTTTCATGATCAAATCCAAGATAATGTTTATTGAAAAAAAAAGGGGTTAAGTCAATATAATTCAAAAACTTCCAATCAGATTTTACATGTTCAGAAAAACTGCTGTACTAAGTAGAAATCTTTTTTTTTTTTTTTTAGATAAATGGTATTAGACAACCATCTATCCATCCATTATCTTTACCTGCTTCTTCCTTTTCGGGTTGTGGTGGTATAAGACATTTATTCTGAAAAGTTTTCAGATTTTTTCACTGAAACTAAAAATGAAAATGCCTGTTCTGATTGTACATTACTCTCAAAGCCAAACATTGTTTCTTGAAGAAATAATTTTTCTGTGACTTGTTTGTTTAACTTGTGTGCAAAAGATGAACAATAATGTTTTTGCCTGCGTCTGTGTTTGTTTGTCTGTTAGTACAATATCCCTTGAACCACTGGATGGATTTTAATGAAACAATCACAAAGTATGAACATCTACAACTCTTTAACTTTTGGAGTCAACATGATGTAAGATGGCTGGCACAGCTAACAGACCTTAGAAAACACAAAAGTAGCTATAAGCCTATTCATTTCAAAGTTATTTAGCAAAAAATAGCTGTGAGTCATCCTTAGCTCGTACTCTGAGCACTAATTTATCACACAATATTTTAGCTTAAAACTTTGTCTTTACCTATGGGTTGTGTTGTCACCCAAAGAGATGACAAAATATTAAATAGTAATTGTCCCATTTTGATATGTAGTTTTTCATAAAATGAGCTAGATACCATATTTTTTTAAAGTTTATTTTGGAAAAATTATCAGTATTTGATTTATTCTCTGTTATTGAAGATGTTAGTTTAATATACAGGCCCTCATTTCCTTGTTCACCTTCAGACGGCTGTCTGAGGGGGGTCAGGGACTAAATAAACCCCCGTCTTGGTTTGTCAGGCGTGTCTGCGATGGTGGAAACACAGTTTGAGACTAATTCCATCAGATTTCCTGGTTACTCGCTGAGCTAAGCTGTGTTTAATGAATGCTTTAATGGTCGGCGGGTACTGAGAAGAATGCAGAACAAGTTGACATAAATTACACAAATTTGTATGAGGTCAGAGTATGTCACCTGCTCTCTGGTGTCCAGGACGGTCTGTGTCATTTCCATGCACACAGGTACAGTGCAGATAATCTTGTTGTATGGGAGGAAGATGGTTTACCAACCTTCACATTGCATCAGTGGGACTTTCTGCATAGTCAGCCCCTACAGAAGTTAATAAGAGGTAATGATGCTGTCTCCTGAGAGGCCGGAGGCATGCCAGAATTCACTCTTGAGTGCCCAAGAGTGGTTCTGTTGGCCCTTCGAGAGCCACAGGAGCGTAGATTGAGAGGCCTTGCGGTAACATCTGAAGCTATACAGGCTTCAAGACAGCTAGAACTTGTGTCAACAAAGAAAAATAAATAGAGATTTGTGGATTGTTGCAACAAACAGGAAATGACACACAGTATCTTCAAAGTGGATTTTTTCCATGATAAAATGTCTATCTCAACCTTGTTTTAGAAGTTCGTGTGCATGCTATTTTAGAAACATTTATACCGCTCTCAATTTTGTTTTATGAAGTTATTTACAAATAACAAAGTCCATGCTCAATAATCCAGGTATGCAATCCAACATTTTTCAGTCAGATCATCAGGACAGTTTCTTTTTTTTTTGCTGAAACGTTTCGCCTTCGATCCAGAAGACTTCATCAGTCAAGGAAACACACAACAAAACTGATTCTTCCCCCAACAGCTTACTCCAAAGTGGAACAAACCAGTTTTGTTTGTGATAAGATGGTCTCTTTGGTACGCCCCCCCCCCCCCCACACACACACTCCATTGCCGGCCCTCTTCCTTGTTGACAGTCTTGTCAAACTGATCTTATCACAAACAAAACTGGTTTGATGACTGATGAAGCCTTCCGGATCGAAGGCGAAACGTTTCAGCACAAAAAAAGAAACTGTCCTGATGACTTGACTGAAAAATGTTGGATTATTTACAAATAGTTTATTAGTTATTTGCAACTTCCAGTAATTGCAGCAGCAGTTATTTGATAGTTTTTGATGCAATTCTAGGTAGGAGTTCCAAGATGGCCGTGCACAGAACAGTTGCAGCTTCACAGGCTCCTGGTACTATCCCAGTTTTTAGAAGTTTTGATATTGACTCTGTGCCTGACTCCGCACGATTTATGCGTGTGAACTATAGCCAAACCGGAATGATGAGAATAAGAGCGGATTTGCCACGAAATATAGCAAAAATCAGCAACAAACTCAAAACTACGCTCGGCAGAATACAGATCTTAAAGTCATCTACCTGGAAGCTGCAGCAGAGGCGTTCCAAAAGGCAGAAGAGGAAGCGCTGCTCCCGGCTTAAGAAGAGAGGACGCCGGGTGGGGGTTCTGGTGAGGCTACAAGCTAATGCTAAAGCCGGAAAACTCCTGATGCCATCTCTCTTTCTGTCCAACGTCCGCTCGTTGGACAACAAGATGGATTTCCTTCGTCTGAGAGCAGGCGCCTCAGAAGAGATGTCAGAGTCAGAGATCCTTTATTGTCATTCACCCATCATGTGGTACATGTGGTGGAGCGAAATTATGTACACAGGGTCCCAGTTACATCCAACAATAAAATGTTTAAGAAAAAACAGTAATAAGATCTAAGATATGAACTAAGAAAAACATCAACTAAATATTCACTAAGAACTCAAAACATAAAAACATTGAACATCAGCATGAACATGAACATGAGACTGTGTGAGCAGATGTGCACGCATGAACACATCAACATTGAAACAGATCAGCAGCAACATGAAACAGATCAGCAGCAACATGATGTGATTTTCACAGTGATTATTCTAGTTAGAGATTCATGAGTCTAACTGCCTCAGGGTAGAAGCTGTTCCTCAGTCTAGTGGTTCTACACTTAATGCTTCTCAACCTCCTTCCTGAGGGGAGTGGGGCAAAAAGTGTGTGTGCTGGGTGAGTGAGGTCCTTCATGATGCAGGTAGCCCTTTCCTGCATCTAGAGGTGTAGATGTCTGTGATGGTGGGGAGGCTGACTCCGACAGTCTTCTGTGCAGCCTTCACCATTCTCTGCAAAGCTTTACTTTCTGCAGCTGTGCAGCCTCCATGCCACACGTTGATGCTGGAGCACAGGATGCTCTCCACTGCACACCTGTAGAAGGAGGTGAGGACTGAGCTTCCCAGACCAGCTCGCCTCAGCCGTCTGAGGAAGTAGAGTCTCTGATGAGCTTTCTTGATCAGGCTGGTGGTGTTGTTGCTCCAGCTGAGGTTGTCATTCATGTGTACACCCAAGTACTTGCAGCTGGAGACCACTTCCACCGCAGATCCTCTTATGTTCAGGGGGTGTAGGTGTTTTTGTTCCTTCTGAAGTCCACAATCATCTCCTTTGTCTTCTTCACATTGATGTGAAGGTTATTTTCTTTGCACCAGCTCTCCATGTGTTCCACCTCTTGCCTGTAGCTGGACTCATCATTGTTTGTGATGCATCCCACCACCGCTGTATCATCTGCAAACTTTACAATGTGACAGCCTGGATGGGTAGCTGCACAATCATACGTGAGCAGAGTAAACAGGAGGGGGCTCAACACACATCCCTGAGGAGAGCCAGTGCTGAGGGTTATGGTGGAGGAGGAGAGGTTGTGGATCCTCACTAACTGTGGTCTTTTTGTTAAGAAGTCTAGTACCCAGTTACAAATGGAGGGGCTTGGTCCTAGAGTGGATAGTTTGTCCATCAGGGTTTTGGGGGATCATGGTGTTGAAGGCGGATGTGAAGTCCACAAAGAGCATATGGACGTAAGAGTTTTTCTGCTCCAGGTGGTTGAGCGCAGTGTGGACCACAGAGGAGATGGCATCCTCTGTTGATCAGTTCTCACGGTATGCATACTGATGAGGGTCCTCGTTGATGTTGTTGGTTGTTTTGATGTGAGTCATGACCAGTTTTTCGAAGCATTTAGCAACTATTGGGGTGAGGGCCACTGGCCGACAGTCATTCAGACCAGTTACTGTAGAGTTTTTTGGGACTGGGATGATGGTGGCAGTCTTCAGGCAGGTGGGAACTGTCTCCAGGGTAAGTGAGGTGTTAAAGATGTCTGCCAGTGCCTCGCAGAGCTGATCGGCACATTCCTTCAACACTTTTCCGGGGATGTTGTCTGGGCCAGTTGCTTTGTGCGGATTAATCCTCCTGAAAGCACTCCTTACTTCGGCTGAGGTCACGCTGAGATGCTCTTCATTCGGTGGTGAGGTGGGTCTGGTGCTGGGTGGTCTGTTCAGGTCTTCAAAACGTGCATAGAACTTCTTGAGGGCATCAGGCAGAGATGAGTCTTTGGGGCATTGTTTGCTCCTTCCTTTATAATCTGTTATGCACTTAATGCCCCTCTTCATCCTCTGAGGGTCTTGTGAGATGAATTGACCCTTGATCCTCTGTGCATATGTGGCCTTGGCCTTCTTAATACCAGCAACCAGCTCTTTTCTTGTCCTACTCAGCTCCTCTGAGTTTCCAGACCTGAAGGCAGTGTTCCTGGCTTCCAGCAGGATGCGCACTCAGCCAAGGTTTTCTGTTTGGGTAGCTTTTAACATTTCTGATAGTGGAGATGGTTTCAGTACATGTACTAATGTAACCCAGAACTGAGGATGTGTATTGGTCAAAATCAAGCAAACCTCCATTTTCAGCAGCTTCTCTGAAAATCTGCCAGTCTGTTCGGTCAAAACAATCTCTCAGTATGGGGCCACTGTCCTGGATCCAACATTTAACTTTCTTTTTTACCGGTCTGGAGCATCTCAGCAGGGGCATGTAAGCCGGAGCCAGGAAGATTGAGATGTGGTCTGACAGTCCTAGGTAGGGGCAGGGTTCGGCTTTGTATGCATCTTTTACGTTCGTGTAAACACGGTCCAGCGTCTTGTCTCCATGTGTTGGAATTGTCACATGCTGATTAAAGCTTGG